CTAGCAATGCTAGAAAAAAAACTACTCAAACCCCAACACAAGAACCAACTACACAGACAAAACGAAAAACGACCCCAGCGGGGTGATGAGAAACGACCCCAAACGAGGTAATGTGGAACGACCCTAAATGGAGTAATGCCCGCAGGCTCACAGGGGCTAAATGCCCAAACCAAAAATGTATATTCATGTTTTATTTTTATTTATTTTTTCATTTTTTTTTATCAAGTACGAGATTATTGTATGTTCTTTAATTTGTTTTGTTTGTTTTTTTTTTTTACAATTTCATCTTTTGAATATCTAAACGTAATATAAGCAACAAGTAAACACAAAGATATTGTTGTAATCTTAATTATTTATTTAGCAAATCTGTTTATTTTACATGAACTTAACTGATGTCATTGTGTTTATACATCACAATGGAGTGTGGATCAACAATGAATATGTAAACTATCAAGTCAGAGGTAGCCTGGTCAGTAAATAGCAAAAGTATACGGAAGATAAACATGAGATAAACAACCTGGAACACTTGAAGTCGTGGTCAGAGGTATGATTTCATATATTGTGATAGGCCAAACTTTCAGAGATAAAAGTGAAGCGATGAAATTGCACAGCCTCCATGCAATAACAAACCAGTATCAGTTCAAAGTGGAGAAGTCTTGTCCGAAGCAGTACTATGTAAAGTGTATATGTGCATATTGCAAATGGTTTATTTAAGCGTCGAGGACGTAGTGAGGCCAGAACGCCCGCGACAACAAAGGCTCAAACCAGGTCGAGAGTTACGGGTGAAAAATAGGTGCAACAAATGTGGTGAGAAAAGGCATAATGTAAAGACATGTTCAAATCTAAATAGAGTGAAACAAAATTAGTTTGATGTGTTTACTTAGTTTTTAATTTTTTTTATGAAATTTTTAAGTTTTAACAATATGACTGAAATTTTTTTGCCGTTCTTTTTATTGTTGTTTACTTATTGTTTACTTTTAGTATAATTGTACATGTGTAAGTTATTAAAAAAACAAGGAATGGTGTCATTCAAATGTATATAAGTTGTACATATAAGAATAAGTTTTATCTGATTTTTTTGGTACATTTTATGTGTCTTATGAGTTTAAATAAACAAGCAATAACTAACATTCATATACTTTAGTTGATTTTTAAAAAAATATGGTGATAAAACTAGGATATAGGAGGAGTGGATAATAACTACACAGATGTTTAACACACGGTGTAATATACATTAGTTAAACACGTTAATACTTAAGCGTAATATCCAATATGTGGGAATGTCTCTATTTATGTAAACTTAAGATCAAATATGAAAACCGGAAGAAACTAACGGTATCTAGCAGTGCAATTTGATTGGATAACCTCGTGCAACTAAAAAAATCCAAAAAGCACAAATATCTAACAAAACATAAGACCAATAGTAACATGGTCGAACTCTCCATACACTAAGGAAAAAAGGTATTTCATAAAAAAAAAGTAGTCAGATTTTAACTAACAAACATGAGCTTTGCATGCTCTACATCATCAAGCATCCTAAGAAATTTATCGTCGCTCTCACACGAATTTTCTTGCTTTATACGACCATGTTGATAGAGCAATTATGAGTACCTCATCCTCTATGTGTCTAGTTTAATTGTACATATATATATACATAAGATAAACAACATATACACATTTTTTGATTCTGCAATAACCTTACAAAATGACAACAAAAATTGTATATATATACATAAGATGAACAACATATAAACTTTTCTCAAATGGAATATATATATAACATGACGACAAAAACTGAACATATATATACATAATATAAACAGTATATAAACATTGGTGAAATTCAATATACTTGTATAACATAATACCAACACAAAACAACTCAGTCAATACATGCATTCAACAAAAATCCAACAAAAGTGTCCCTGACAAATCACTACACAAGCACAAAAACATTCCAAAAAATCCAAACAAGACAATTTCTACAATTAACAAGCAAGTATGAATTATAATTTTATTCATAAAATATTACTGCAACACATCTAAACACTATAATAAAGAGGAGGACTGTCGGGCTCGTCGGACATTGTCGGTCGGTATTCTGTGAACGACTAACGGAAGGTTAACAATAGCAGAACGTCGTCTAATCCTCGGCGGTTCGGATGCCATGAAAATTTTGACTAGGAGGCGGTTGTGAAATGTGGATTCACCAGCGGAGGCATGCTGTAATCACATGGAGATCGTGCCGCGAGCGGAGACCGGTGAAGCGGGAGTGTACGTCGCCGGCAGAGATTATTCATCACCGTGGAAGGACGGTCGCCGCGAAAATTGTCCAGGCGGTGGCGGAAGATGAGCCGCTGCGGTCGACGATGAAGAAACTCGGCAGGACTTCTCGACCGGCGGCCAAGAGGAACTCGACGGGACTTCTCAACCCACGGGATCGGATCTTTGATGTTGAATAACAAGTTTGTTTAGGAACCTATGAACAACAGCAAGTTCTCATGTTCTCTTTTACTCAATTGTAGGCCCCTTTTTTTCTACTTTTTTTCCAGGATAAATTGGGATATATCTCAATTCCCGATAATCATGCTTAAAATTAACTCCTTTAATCGTGTTTAGTGGGTAGTTGTTTTGGTATTTTAAACTGCTGAAATAATGGCCAATATATTACTTTCCTTAATTAATTAAAATTTGTAATTATGTATATAAGTTATTGATTTCGTATTTTTAATATTAATTAACAAATGATTAGTAAACTGTGTAAATTTCTCTAACAAATCAATGATTTCGGCCCAAAAATTTAAATTTGTTTAGGCCTTTGTGACTCGCTTTTCAGAAACCCTAAGCCAATCTCTCTTCATTTACAAAACAAGTCCACCACAAAATTTCACATCGGGATCAATTCTCAAATCTCACCTCTCTCAAGCCACGCCTTCATCCTCACTTATATTAATTTCCGGCGAGTTTCAATCGTCCGCCGCAAGCAGGCCGCCAACCCCCATAGCAGCAAGCCCGCCGTCATCCAAACAGTCGCAGCAGGAGCGGATTTTCGAGAACCCGACTTCAGGCGACTGAGAGAGAAATTATCCGGCGACAGCGAAATCCGATAGGCCCCAGGAGCAGGCGAACCACGTCGTCCAGCCTTTCACGGCGGTTCGGCATCCCGCGACTGAAACCAGGCCGACGACGAGAATCCCGGCGTTTCAGCGATTTCCGGCGAGTTCGAGCTCTACCTCTAGTCGCAACGATTCTCGATTTTCGACGAGCTTCACCACCGTCCGGTGACCTTCATCCAAACCACCGCTAGCAGCAACAGCGGGCCGCCGTGACGAGCAGCAGTTTCCGGCCGTTCATCCGACCCTTCGTCAGCCCTCCCCGGCAGCCTGAAGTCGCGCCATCCTCGAACTGAACGGCGAGCAGAATCCGTTCAGGAGCACCCGTTCACGCCGGAATTTTCAAACGAGCAGCAATCGGCACTATTCAGCGAGAAGCGGCCGGCGGTAGTCCTTTTTCAGACGAGTTTTTGCAGTCGTTAGTAGTAGCCGGAGTCCCGACAGTGGCATCCCTTCAGTCGAGCAGAATAACCTCGCACCCCGTTCGTCCATTTCCGAAGCAGCCGTCGGTAGTCCTTCCTTTTTCAGACGAGTTTTTGCAGTCGTTAGTAGTAGCCGGAGTCCCGACAGTGGCATCCCTTCAGTCCAGCAGAATAACCTCGCACCCTGTTCGTCCATTTCCGAAGCAGCCGTTGGCCCGTGAACTAGGCGGGAGCAGCGGCGTTCGTTCAGGAGCGAACTGAGAACACCCCGAGCACACCCAGCCCGTGAGAAAAGAGCAGCAGCCGTTCGAGGCTTTTATCGAGCAGCCGGGGTCCTCGATCATTAGCATCGAACAGTAGTAGTCCCGTTTTCCGTTCAACGAGCAGTGGCCGGTTCCCCTCGAACCGCTTTCTCGCAGCCCGTACGTGCGAGAAGAGAAGCGGGCCGAACCTTAGCTGAGAGCCGACAACCGTCCAAACCGTGCCCCTTTCTTTCTGTTTTTCACGGTAATTTGGCTGAGCCTTTAACCCTTCGTTTGGCCTTGATTTCGTGGTTCAAAATGCTTAGTTTCGGTTTTGTAGTTTTGAAGAGAAAATGGGTAGATTATATGTTATGTTTTGTGCCGTGTTCGAGACCTTTACTTGTTTTTCTATTAGGGAGGTGAGGGTGAAATAGACTTTACACATTTGTATCTCATGGTTTATCAAGAGAAACAAACACTATATAGGGAGTTAAACATTATCTTATCCGAAATATATCCCTCTTGAATAACAAATATAGCTTTAATTTAATCAAACACATCCTGTGAAACAAACAAACGAGGCCTAAAGGTATAGCATTTAAATGGCATAAGCTACAACAGACAAACACATGCATAGGCCTCTTGGAAATCAACGCGGATACAATTCACTGATCGACATACCATTTTCTGATGAATTGTCCGGTCGATTTTGTGTGGCGCTATTTGAAGAACTTTTATGATTGGATCGTCTCGGATTATTCCCTTGAACGAGTGAAGAACTTTCCGAACCATAGCCACCCGGCATATAGAATGCAGGCTCGGAAGGTTCCGCCAGAACTAAGTCGGAGCTACTAAGCATTAGGACAACAAAAGCCATTGTTGGTCTATCAATAGCATGCTGTTGAACACATAACAAAGCAATTTGGATGCACCTTTCCATCTCACGTGTAAAATCTGATGCAGACTTCAAACACTGATCCACCATTTGTATTGGTGTTCCTTCGTGCCATTTTTTCCACGCCTATATAATAATAACTTGCATTAATATTTTTTTTAAGTTCGTTGATAGTTTTGTGTTGATTCATACAGAATCTTTACTTACAAAGCTCAAGAGGTCCTCTACATTTCTCCCATGTCGAAAATAGTTTTTCCTCTGACCGCTAATAATTTCCAACATTAGCACTCCGAAGCTGAACACATCCAACTTGATCGAAATCTGTCCGTGTATTGCATATTCCGGAGCCATGTATCCGCTGCAATAAAATCATTTTAAATTTAATGCGTTATTTACCCGAATTAATTTGTAAGAGCACGATCTTGCTAAAAAGAACAATGAGGCGAAAAAAATAAAAAAGATATAAAGTATGTTATAGAGAATCACTACAGTCTCGTCACAAAATGATTTCATGTTTATTATTAGCTTTTAGATACAGATACACATGTAGATTAGTGTAGAATAGATAAACAATGGTTAAAATAACACTGACGGAATCATTCCGTGACGCAACATTAGTGTATAATAATTAATTAATGCTTACATAGTTCCAACAATTTTACTAGTATCTCCATGAGTCTCTCCTTGTCCAAACAACCTTGCCATGCCAAAGTCCGCAATTTTAGGGTTCATTAATCCGTCTAAAAGAACGTTATTGGGTTTGAGATCACGATGAATGATCTTCAGCTGAGAATCTTCATGCAAATACAAAAGTCCCCTTGCTACGCCTCCAATGATGTTGCAGCGTTCTTCCCAATCTAAGTATGAACGATTAACCGATTCTGGGTCTGTATATAGCATCTAATATCCAATTTATTACAAGTTTCGATTTATAATATGAAATCATATGTGCTGATAATGATAATGTGTATAACAATATAATTACCAAATATGAAGTGGTCGAGGCTTCCATTCTGCACGAATTCGTAGACGAGGATTTTCTCGGCTCCTTCTAAGCAAAAGCCCACAAGTCTTACTAGATTTCTATGTCGAAGGTTGGCTAGTAACAAGACCTCATTCTTAAACTCCAAGTCACCTTGTGTGGAGTTACTGGATAATCTTTTGACTGCTATTTCTCGACCATCAGCAAGTATTCCCTAATATTAAAATAAAAATAGAATAATTAGTAGATATGTAACTTAATATGTCTCAAGTATTTTATAATCTTACAAGTACGTACTACTAGTTATGGATAATAGTTCGAGTTAACATGAACAAATCTGAACACCAGAAATCGACGCATAGGATTAGAAGCACAAAAAATTGAAACCCGGGCTCGTAAAATATCCGTATTTAGAGGGATATACTACAAAAGTACACGACTTTTGGCTACCTTGTAAACAGCTCCAAATCCACCTTGTCCTAGTTTGTTACCATCTGAGAAATTATTAGTGGCAGCTCTGATCGTTGTCAAGGCATATTTGAGAGATTGAGCTTCTAAGATCTCATCAACATCATGAGCTTTAGATGGAGATTGACAGATCAATTTAACTGATTAATATGTATTAGTTGAATACTTTGATGTAATAAATCTTTCAAATCAAATCCAACACTCACAAAATTCACTTACTCTCATGTTTTAATTTCATTCTCCTCCTTAATAAGAGCCAAACAGTAGCAGCAACAGCAGCTAATACCGAGCACACAGAAACTAATACAATAACAACGATCTCAGATGGTGATGATGATGAATTATTGCCATGATTTGTTCCTACACAAAACAAAAATTCTCTTAGTTATTTGTATCCATTAACGTAACGGGAGAATTGGAGATTTAGTTCTGTAACTGACACCAAATTGAGAAATAGTCTGGTGGTTGCATCGATTTTACGAAATAACCTGTAACTGTAACAAAAACCTGACTTTTGGTCCTTCCACAGTAAAAGTCGGTCGATTTACCGGTTGTTGAGTTGGACATGTTAGTCAACTGTCATGTGTACGAAAAAAAAATGAAAAATAATATCCACTTCAGCAACAGGTCACAGGGATTAAAAGTCAGATTTTTTGGAGTTATAGGTTGTTTTGTAAAGTCAATACGGTCACCGAACTATTTTTTAATTAGGTGTCAGTTACTAAATCTCAATTTCTTTCCTCAACGTAACTATAGTAGCACTTATATCTCGTTACCCGTTGGAGCCGTCAACTCTCGAAGCCGAGTTTCGTTGTAAAATTTATTCACCTCGTAGCGAAGATTGCAGCTCGGCACAATCACTCTTCCCCCTCTCCTCCTATTCCAGAACTGCGCTACATCGGCACATATCAATCTCAGGCAAGCACTGCAGTTGTCTGGGGACAAATCCGGCGTGCAGTGGACCATCGCAAAGATGTCCCTATGATCACGACCCGTCACAATATTCCCGGCCGCCACTTTCCGAGTACTGCCAGCCGCCCGAGCGCTGAGGTCAAATAACAACCTCGTCAGGTCCCGCATGAACATGTCTGGAGCCGGGCTGTCGATGTTATGAGTGTTCCACTGATATAACCTAGCAGACGTGTCGAGTCTCTGCGTTAGGTTCTCGTCCGAGTAATGTAGCGTGCAGAAGTCGGACCAGCCGAAGGCTCGTCTGTGGTTGGGGCACGAAGTCGGGAGAAACGATATGATGTAGCGGAGGCAGTCTCGGCACTCGGCCAGCTGGACGTCCCCTCTGCAGAGGACGGCCACGCTGGCGGTCTCGGGGCCGCGCCACCCGACCGAGTCTTGGAAGAAGCCGTCTTGGCCGAGGTTGTTGGGTACGGAGTAGAGGAGGGAGTTGAGGTTGTTGGCATATTCGTTGTCGATTGGGTGGCTGCCGTTGGTGAGGCATTCGTGGGATTGTGCCGCCAATTGGATGAGGTTTGTGTGAAGAAGAATATTCCAGGCAAGGAAAAACAAGGTCCAAGACATTTTTCTTTTTCTTCTCTTTTTTGGTTAGACAGAATTTCTTGCTGCACAAAAATGGTAATATCATATGTATTATTTATTTCCAAATTTTATGAGAGTCAACTAATCGGATCAATCTTTGAAATGTCAAAATAGGCGACTCTAGTTTTGAAATTTGGCCTGAATCCAAATTTCTTTTTTTTTTTTTTAAAAAAAAAGCCAACTAGTATTTGATTCTTTGCGTTTGAGTATTATAAGTTACTAGTACAATACCCGTGTATTACACGGGTGCTTGTTAAAATATTATTCTTAAATTTTAAAATTAATGAGAAAACTATATTAAATTTAGTTTACTTTTTTACAAAAAAAATATATTACTATATATTTAGAATGATATGTGTTACTTATGACTTACATGTGTTATATTATATTAGTTTTTATACCTTATATCATATAACTACTTGAAATATAAATATATTAGTTGATAAATAATTTTATTTTTCTAATTAATATTAAAAATAATTTTATTATTGTTATAAATATAAATATAAATT